TTTTCAAATTCTGTGCTAAATAAAGAAAAAATATAGAATTCTTTGATTTTGGTTATATAGATTTCTTCATAGAATTATAACTTATAAAATATTTATTTCATTGTTACTTCTATGAATTGTATTCTCTTATTCAAAAGCTGTAAGGGCTGTGACTACAACCATGACAAAAGTAATGGACAACACCCAGTGTAAAGTGGTAATCTGGATGCCATGTTTGGAGATGTTTTCCAGACAAAATAGCTAAACTGCTTACTTGCTAATTTTCTTTTGAGTTCAACTTAAATGACTCAGTAATTAATCATGTCACTTTATATGAGGAAATACCTCCAGATTGTTCAAAATAGTTTCATTGCAGGTAGCAATGTATGGCTTTATATAATTATGTTGATTCGTCATTGTTGCCACCCTGGTAACCCACTGTCATCCATCCTTATTAGCTTTTGACTCACTTGCAACCTATCATCATGTTGGGTTCATTTTATGACCCAGGAACTTGATCTGGCTAAGAAGTGGTAAAGAAAAGCACAAATGGTTAGTTGAACAATTGCAGTAACAGTTTAAGCAAACCAACAGACCTGTTTGTTAAAATGAATGGTCTGAACAGAGCAAAGACCCAACCTTTTTGAGTTCCAGTAGTCTTTGGTGTTGACCTTCATGTGTTTACTGATGGTAGAACAACCTTTAACCTGTAGTCTATTGCTGATTATTTGAGAAGCCAGTGAACCCAACAATACATTTCTAATTTGTGCTAATATGAGTACATTCAGGGGTAGACTTGACAGTTTGTGCAGAATCTATAATGTAAGAATTAATCCTGAGTTTTATTGCAACATAATGATAAACCTATTTGTCAATATTTTTTAAGGTTTCTGATTTTGTGATTTGTAAGGAGAATAGGAGAGTTGAATCTGTTTCCATATTTATGAAATAATATTTAACATACATTAAAAAGGTCACATTATTAGGTATACTCTTCTAGCACCAGGTTGGACCTGCTTTTATTTTTGGAACCACCTCAATTCTTGACATGAATTCAATGAAGTTCTGGAAGCACACTAACAAAATTTGGGTTCATACTCCTATTATAGCATCTCAATTCTTCTAGATTGGTTGGCTGCTCATTCAAAATTTGAATCTCTCCACCATATCTCAAAGGTGCTTTATGAGATTGACATCCAGTGATTATGGAGGTCACTTTAACACAGAAAACTTATTGTTATGATACATGAAGCAATCTGTCATTATTTTTTATTTGTGTCACTGTGTATTGTCCCACTAGAAGTGGACACCAGTGAATAAGTGAATGTAGTCATAAATTGAGGCCTGTGGTCAGCCTCAGTACCTAAATAGCTTGCAGTATTTAATCAATCTTTTGTTGGTACGAAGGGTCCTAGTGTATGCTAAGAAAATATTCCTCATATTATTACACCACTACCACCAGTCTGAACTGTTGATATATGTTAAATCTATACTTTTATCTTGTTCACACCAAATTCTATCCCTACCATCTGAATGCCATAAACTCATCAGAGCAAGCAACATTTTTTTCCAAATGTTCTGTTGTCCAATGTTTTGTGATTCTTAGTGAATTGTAACCACAGTTTCTTGTTCTTATCTGACAGTAGTGACAACCAGAATGGTCTTCTACTGTGGTAACCCATCTGCTTCATGGTTTGATGTATGATGAATTCACAGATACTCTTCATTATACCTCCATTGTAAAAAGTGATTATTTCAGCTACTGTTATCTTTCTATTAGTTTGAACCAGTCTGACCAATTTCCTCCAACCTCTTGCATCAACAAAGAATTTCCACATGCTGAATTGCCACTCAGTGGAATTTTTTAATATTTTCCTGTAAATCCTAGAGATGCTTATGCATGAAAGTCCTAGTAGATCACCAGTTTGTGAAATACTCACACTCACCTGTCTGGTATCAATGACCATGTTGCATTCAAAATCTCTTAAATAATCTTTCTATCCCATAGTAATACATGAAATGAAATTCAGCAGGTTGTCATGATTGTTTAAATGTCTATATTTATTAAATGTCAAGTCACTGGCCAGTTAAAAAATTTGCATTACAGAGCATTGGTTCTCATGTACTTAAGGGGTCAGTGAGTGTATATTACTATTTATGACTTTCTTGTTTATTATTATTTTTATGTGTTATGTTTATTATTTTTATATAATACTAGTAGTAGAGCCCCGGCGTTGTTCGGGGATGTAACAGAGATAGATCAAGTATCGACCATCATAAAGACTGAAAAATAAAATTGACAAAGATTATTGTTTAAGGTTGACGGACACGCATGTCTTAATTAGTTTTATTTTTTGTTTTGTTTTGTTTTTTTTGTTTTTTAACAAATTGGTCAAACTCAAACAAAAACTTTGTTTTCAATCATTATGAGTTTATCGATTGAATAGAATTTTATTATAAACAATTGTCTTGTAAATGGAATTTTTAAAGCATTCTGAATGTAAAAATAAAGAAAAAGGTGTGCAAGACAATAAGAAACACTACCTGCCAAAAAAAAGTGAAGTTTTGTTGAAATCGGTTGAAAAATGTAGGAAATACGATCCCATATATAAACGAACACACACACATACACACACACACAAACAAACAACCTGGATTTTATAATAAGTATAACTCGATAACTTGATATTAATAAGTATAACTCGATATGAGTTGTCCTCCTTTCATTAATGCCTCTTAATTGTGTTTTCAAATTGATTTTGTGCAAAAATAATTGTGTTTTTCCAATTTTTAGCACTGTCAGAACCACCGCAAGGTAATTTTACGTAGTCCTGTGAAGTTTTGTTGAAATCGGTTGAAAAATGTAGGAAATCCGATCCAATATATAAATGTACAGACACACACACACGCACGCACAATCTGCGTTTTATAAGATGTTTATAATATTTTTAATAAAAAAACATCAAAAATAAAGATAAGTAACTAAATAATATATGCAGGTTTAACATTTCATAAAGTGACAATGCTTTTTGCCAGATATTTGAGGTTGGAACTGAAAGTTCACAATGTTGAATGTCTATCTACTCAGCCCATGTCTAATGCTTCTTAGTTGATTGTGTTTGTAAAATCTGGTAACAATTTTGTGTAATGTTTGTTTATTAGAATTAATATTAACTTTTAAAATAATTAATATCAATAATAATATTATTGCTATCTTGTAATTTTAAAAATACATTTAGATTTAGAAAGAAAGATGATCAATTTTTTATTTCTACAATCAATTTTACATTAACAAATCTGTTATACTTATTTTTATGCTTTGAATAATTGTATTATTTCCATTTTTTTTACATTAAATGCCATTCTTTTCTTTTAAAGTTGATAGACTGTAAAAATTTTATCTTAAGAATCCTATATTTTTATTTAAATTCTATGAAGTTGCTGCATAGGTCAGTAGGTGTATGTATGGGTAGGTGTCTGCACACTCATTATAATTATGAAAATGAAACAATAGGGACATGTATTGTACATGACCATATTTTTTATTTTGATTTTATATTGCTAATTGTTTGTAATGTGGCAATAATTGCTAATTATCTAGGGCAATTATGAAACAATCTTTGTAAATAAAAAAAGTTATTTTCATTAGTTTGTGTAGTTTGATATTTTAAGTAAATATTTTAACATTTTAAGGACAGTAGATTTAAGTTCTTTCATTGTTAAAAAAAAAAACATTCATGAAAATATTTTTCTACTTATTGCTACTGTTTCAATTAAGTTAAATACACAGACCATGAATTTATAAGCAATTTGACTCTCTTGTTCCTCAACCTAGCATATCTTACTTTTAATATGTTATTTAACCCATATGGTTGCAAAATAATAAATGAAAGCAAGAAATTACTGCCAGTGAGGTGGAAAGAAAAGGAGACCTGTTAAAATAAAATTCTCCTTATTGCTGATATAAATGATCAAGATGGAATGTCTCCTTGTGGGTAAAGGAAGTGGCATGGAGGATGAGGGAGACAGTAAGTCCTGGCATTGAAGCTTATGTCAGGTCTGTTGACCGAGGATACTGGTGACTACCTGCCTTTTAGTGTGGCAAGTATGTCCTTTTAAGCAGTCAGGATGAATACATGACTTATCCAGATTTCAAATTATCCAGAGTTCTATTTTATACATGTTAAAGACCAGGTGTAACAGCAAAATTGTCCAATTGTTAGATTAAACTTTGAACTGTTGTACCTTAGAAATGATTAAAGGTATCTTACTGAAATTCTCTGAGTTTTTTATAACACTATTGGATTCTACTTTGAACAATAAGAATGTATTTGGCTCTAAGTTGAAATGATGCTACCTCTTACTGTTGTGATCACTTGATCCAGTTTTCCTCTCTACTGTTCCCTCTTTTTTAAACTTATTCACCATTCTCTTGACTGTTCTTGAATGGACTGAAGATGGAAGCCAGATTATGAATGTTGGTACCATTATTGAAGGCCTAAATGATCTTTTTCATCTTATCATTGCTCAGTTGGAAAGACTTAATGGGGCTGATACAAAATGATTTTAACCTATTCTCTTTCTACCTGAATAACTCAAAGGGTTTTTCAGTGATTCATATGACAAATGGTGTCAAGCTGGCTAAACATCTGAAAACCTGGGGAGAAGAAACAAATTAGTTTAGTGTTTTTTTAGATATTATATTTTGTGGAATAGACAATTATCACATGCTGTTATACGACTTGGACAATTTTGCTGTTACATCCAGTATATTAATTATGATGAAATCATCAATATTTGTATCCTGCCTGTTGACTAACTAATAAAATCAAATTTATTACATTCTCTGATAAGCCAAAGTCTGGCAAAATGTGTTATATTCTTGGTTCGATATTTTTTTTCTAATCAACATATTTGATTAATGCATTTTTTAAAAATTTCTTTTTATGGATTTAGTCAACAAATTTATTTGTGTGCTAATATATATTTTATTTATTTTTTATTTTTTTACATTCTTTCAGGTGCTTATGAGCAGGAACTTGCAACCAAAACTTTGATGATACAGTCCAAAAGGTTCTACCTGGATGTTAAGCAAAACAGAAGAGGAAGGTTTATTAAAATTGCTGAGGTAGCCTGTACTTGTCCTATATTCTTTTTTCTTATTACCATGCTTATAATGAAAGAGGTCAATTATTTTTATTGATACTTCAACATTCTTAATTTGAATAAATTTGTATAGCTTTTTTTTATTTATTTTCATAAAATCTGAAATTATTGATTATATGGATGTTAACCTCTGTCAATCTGAAGGTAGTTATAAGAGATTAAAAAAAAAACCCAAATCTTATTTGTTCTATTACATGGTAATTTTCAGATAATGTTTGCAGTATAATTTTTACATTTCTATTGGATTAATAACTAAAAATAAAGAAAATCTCTTGTATCATAAATGGTTATATTGCTGTAAAAATGTAATGAGAAAAGTATACAGCAATTGAAGCCCTCAGTATCTCTGTGTAACATTTATTTAGTCTGGTAGCATGAAATTTCAAGCAGAAAGTAAAATGCCATCCATGGATTTTCTGAAGTCCTGTTTGTTTTTTGAAATTAACAATATAAAATGAAGATTGTGTTTTTTTAATATGTATATATCCATGAAATCTGGGTTTGAATCTTACTACGGTTGATTTGTCAAAGAGGTGTCTGGGAAGATTATTCCAGTGTGCAGCACCACTGGGAAATGCCTGTAAGTCAAGCCTTGTGAGTGTAATTGGGCAGGTGAAAATATTCAGAAGCTGTTATATAATCTGGTACGAAGTCCTAAGTCATTATGAAGAAGAGTTTGAGTGTATTGACCTTTTGTTTAAATGCTAATCATGCTAGATTATACACTATCCCAGAAACTAAGGTCTACTCAGCATAATGACAATATAAACCATAGGTTGGCTTGTTGAGTGTTAAAGAAACACAAATTTATCTGAGCAGGTGTCTGCAACTGGGATTAATTAACTGCCCTAGCAAACAAGCATATTTGTAAATAAGTGACTATTATTATTATATATATATATATATATATATATATATTTTGAACAATAAAAAATAAAATCTTCAGACACACTGGATTAATATTCTTTCGTTTTTATTATTATTATTTCATTTAGATTCCTCAACTAGTTTCGGCCAAAATGGCCATCATCAGGAGAAGGAATATTTCTGCTTGCTGGTAGCAGTGAACTACAGAAATGAATGTCTTGATGGAGAAAATGAACTTTTGTCTGTAGTTTTCAGTTGTTTTTTTTATTTTTTTATCTTTTTAACATGAATCTTTTAACATTCCTTGTGTTGGTCAAACAGTCTCTTTTAAGTTTTTATTTGAGATAAGAGCTGGATGGATCCCTGCTGCTCTGAATTCCCCTGGTCTGTTTGACAGTTTTATTGGTTCCTGGAGAGGGGATGTGTCTCTGTTAAGTGTGTGTGTGTTATTTGGTTCTTAGGGAGTGAGTGAGCATGATATGTGTAAGCGTGTATATTGCTGTGGGTGTGTGTTATCATTTGGCTCATTAGGAAGTGAGTGAGTATGATGTGTGTATGTTCGTGTGGGTGTGTGTATAAGTGTGAGGCCTCAACACCTCCATAAGCATGTCTGTCTTGTGTGGGTAGGTTTTGATTTGTAGGGTTATATATTAATACTATCTATATTGTTAAGTTTATGGTTTAGCCCGGCTGGATAGTGTGTTTTTAACCATTGTATCCACTTATTTTCATGGAACTCTAAAATTTTTGTAATGTTATCTGCTCTGAACTTTTCTATTCTCTCAATTATAGTGAATTTGGCATGGGTTTTGAAATCCTGTTTTTCTAGGCGGAAATGTTGTTCTACAGGTAATAATTTTTCATGGGGAGTCGACTTAAGTCGATTGTGATAATTATTAATTCTGTAGTAAAAGGGCCATTCAGATTTTCCTACATATTGTTTCTGGCATAGTGTGCATTCTAGGAGGTAAATTATGTTATGACTTCTCCAGTTAGAATCGTGGTAGATTTTGGAAGTAGATTTAGTGACTGAGCTAGTGAATGAATTCTTGTGTTTAATGTGATTGCAGCATAAACTTCTTTTGTTGTTACATGGTTGGGAAAATCCTGTTGTTAGTTTATTACGGATTACCATGTCCCCTGAAATGTGGTTACTACCTATGATTTCTTTTAGGTTCTTAGGTCTCATTGATATGCTAGAAAGGCGGGTTCCTTAAACAATTTTTTTTAGGTCTGGTTTGAGATGTAGTATTTCCCAGTGACTTTTGATTATTTGGGATAGTGGAGGCAGAGTGGGGTTGAAAGTGGTTACTAGAGGAATGTGGCTAGATTTATTTTTAATCTTGTACATTAGGGTGTCTTCTCTAGGTGTGGAAATTGCTTTATTTATTTGTTCCCTGATTAGGTGTTGTTTATAGCCACGTGTTGTGAATTGATACTCCAGATTTTATATATATATGATTAATATGAGTAAAAGTTTGTCACTTAGCTGATTGATGTTACCTTCAGTATCCTGACTCCAGAGTTTTGTAGGTGGACATGTCTATCCACTCTTCAGCAATTGCTTACATTTTTGATTTTTTTCTTTTTTATACAGATCATTGGTGTAAATTTTTTTTCAGTATTTTTTGTTTTTGCATGTGCACATGCAGCCATGCATCTATCTGTGTGGATGTGTGTTCACTTGTGCTTATCCATCTGCATGGATGTTCATACATGTAGGGTGTCACAGTCATTTGTACTTTCCTTTTTTTTTTTTTTACTCACTCGTTAGCTTTTTCTCTCTTTTTTGTTTCTCTTTTCTTTCGACAGTTGTAATTTGTGACAAGTTGTTCCAATTTGACTACATGCCACTGATTTTAATTTTGGGGCATTCTTTTTTTTTTTTTAATTTTTGTTTTGCTGAGGAAGTTGCATTTTGTTTTTTACATAAATAATTGATATTAATGCTTAAATGGTAAAATATCAGGTGTAACAGCAAAATTGTGAAAATTGTTCATTTGTTAGATTAAGCTTTGAAACATTGTATCTTAGTAATAATTAAAGATATTGGAATTCTCCAAGGTTTTTATAACACTATTGGATTCTACTTTGAGCAGTAAGAATATAAAATTACCCTTCAAGCTTAACAGAAGAATCTTGATGAAATCGATCATAAATAAAAATGACATTTTCATCATTAATTAATCATAGCTAAGGTTTGGAAGCTCATGAAAGATTGAAATAAAGTTCATGTATATATATATATATATATATATATATATATATATATTCCAGGAACATTTCCTAATTTATTCAAGATGATCTTCACCTTCTCTAACCTTGTAATTTTCTGTCGTGGAGTAACTAGTTGCCTCACAGGTTTCACATATGATTTCATTTTCAAGTCTTTTTTCACTTCTCTTTGGACTGTCATAGGTGAAGCTCTTCACTCACAAGCCAAACATCATATGAATTGAGTTGGATCTTTTCTAATTGACCTCTTTAGCTCTAAGTTGAAATGATGATCCCTCTTCCTGTTGCAACCTCCTGATAGGATATTCCTCTCTACTGTTCCTGCTTTTTTAAACTTATTCACCATTCTCTTGATGTTTCTTGAATGAACTTTGAAGATGGAGGCCAGAGTATGAATGTTGGTACTATTACTGAATGGTCTTTTTCTTCTCACTTTAAATTCCTTTAAAAATGAGTTATTTTTCCCCTAAATAAATTTTTTATCTCACCTAAAATTAAAAATTTAAATTAAAAACTATTTTAATCATTGTAATATAATCTTACTTAAGTGTATTATTTGCCAAATAAAACCATAAAGATATTTGTAAAAATAAAATGAATTAATTTTCCTTGTCTAGAAGAATTTAATAGGCAGAACATTAAATAAAACACCCAGAGAACATTAGTGGCTAAAAAATAATAATTTTTACTTTGGGTTTAAAAAAATGACTTGCAGTTTTGAAAATATACTTTTAAAACTGAGATTAAAATTTACTTTATTTTTAAATAATTAAATTTTTTAACTTTTAATATCTAATTTTACGTGTATTCGCTAGATATAAACATAATTTTATTTGTAGAAAACAGAGACTCGCATATCTGAAAATATACAAGTAAAAAGTGAAATTAAGAACTATTTTAATTATTCTTCATATCTAATTTAGGTGCATTCCCTAGATAAAAAACCAATTTATTTATAAAAAAAATCTTCATTCATTTTTCTTGTTTGCAACAACTTTATTTCGTGATTGGCATAAATGGCTTACTAGAAAACCCTTACAAAAAAATCCAACTTCATAAAATTTAACATTAAAACGAAACTTGCAACTATTTTTTATATTTTTACTCACTATTTTGTTAACTTAATTTTACCACAAAAGGTTTTTTTTTTTTTTTTAAACTGAAACAAATAGATTTCACTTTCAGACATCATGTCGTGTTTCCTTTTTTTTTCTTCTTCATTTCTTTTGTAAACGAATAGATTTCACATTTATTTACTAAAACTAGTCAATTAAATGTTTTTAACATTTTTGTTCAATCTTTTTCTTTTACAATGGTATAAATGTTGATAAAATTTAATTTTATTGACATCTGAAACTCTTTTTCAATAGTGTTTATTTGGATATGGTCACTCAGTAGTGGTATAAAAATGAAACTGAAATCGTTCGGTTTCGTAGAAAAAGTTTTGATGTGGTTTCATGGTGTGAAGATGAAACCGAAAAAACAATTTTTTTCGGTTAAACTGCATATCTCTAGTATATATATATATATATATATATATATATATATATATATATATATATATATATATATATATATATATCTTCACTAGGGATATCTTCACTAGGGTATTATTTATTTGTTTGGTGATAATAAGTATTAATTGTAAGAGGTTAGATTTGTAATTAATTTTTTATTTATTATTGTTTGAATTTATGTGCTGTTATTTATTGCCTGTATTTACACTTATGTATACACATGTGCACATCTATGTGCATAAACATGTGTACACAAGTACATGTACACTTGTCTGTGCTGAAATGGTGAAGTTGGGTTAATGGAATTTGTTTGGATATACTCCCACACTGTGCACATGCGCATATA